GATCGAAAAGATCTTGAACAAGTAAATAAACAATGATGATTTAAACACAGTAAAATAATAGAACAAGGATGAATCAAACGGGTTGAATGATTAAAACAAAATCCTCAGAAGAGCTCGATTAAGAACATCAACTGTAGAGGATTGGAAGGTTACAAGTATGATCTAAGAAAACCTTTAGTCGTCTGAAAATATGTATACTCAGATCTCTAAAACCTTAACCTAATATGCATGCAAGCATAAGCTTATATACAAAGCATAAATGAATACGGTTGGACAGGCCCAAACCGTAATACAAAGAATATTAACAAACGAGCCCAAAAGACGCAATCTTCTAAGCCCAACAATCTCCCCCTTTGCGTCAATATGGGGCGAGATCTTCACTCTGTCTTCAAAGCAGATGGCTTCTTTACCGTTTGAAAAATTTTCGGTATCAAAGCTAGAATATGATGCCTGAAGGTAATATACCAACGAAGCATATCTGTAAAGTTCTTCTTATCTGCTGTTGTATTCTGTTTGCATCGGTGAATGATATTGATGATGTGCTCCAGAACTCTGTAGAGAACAGATGCTTGTCTACCAACGCAAACAGAAACTTGTGCTTATCCCCCTTGTGAACATAACTGTCAGATTGGAAGAATCAATCTGCCCCAACTTCATTTTATGGACATCTCCGGTTTTGGAAGTGGGCTTGACAGTCGGTTTCTTATTCATCACCTTTGCTATTTCCTGATCCATAGTGGCCAGCTCATGGACATAGGAAGCCAACATTCTTTTAAGATGAGAAAGAATTGGTTCATATTCTCTCTGGTTGGAGAGAAGAATGTTGTATAGCAAGATCCAATCGTGGGGGTTCAGACTGGGAAGATCTGCCAGAGAAATAAGATGTTCGGTGTTGGCAGTTCCTCTGTTGATTTTGAAATTGACGTTTACAAATTTCCCAGCCTGGGTTGGTTTCAGTACTTTGACTCTTATAATTTTCTGGGCACTCCAAGTCAAGTACTGAGGTTGACCGAATTTCAGATAGAAATCGATAAGCTCCCTGTCAACCTTCGGGTTCGGATGAGGGACGTTTGCAGTGACATCAAAGCAGTGAAAAGTGAAGGCTTTACGCGTAATGGGCATGTCGAACTGCGAGTCTTTGGAGTTTTCACACTCAAAAGATGCAATCGGTTCCAACCAATAAATAGAAGGAAACTCAATTGCTTGAGTGATGAGTGTGTCTCTGTCCCAATCTGGGAACAGAGTCTTTTTAGCTTGAATTGCCTCCTCATCCTCCCGGATTTTCCTTTCTCTGGCTTCTGCCTCACGAGCTATCTTCAATGTTTCATCAAGCTCTCTGTCCCGTTTCTTGCGTTTAAGAGCTTCAGTAATGGTTTCATCTGATTCTGATTCGCTCTCAACTAGGACATGTTTACCAGAACCGAAGCTACATTAACCTTCGGTTCTTGTTTGGACATACCTTCCTCTCCCCTTGTCTCGGAAGAACACTTCTCCGAGACACCCTTCATTTCACTTAGGATAGTGATCGCCGGAAGGAGTTTCGCCTGGAGATGCTGACGAACAGTGAGGGTTAGGAAGGGATCATGGGAGTCAAGAACACCGGTTAACATATTTTTAACGTCACCAGCGCAACTCTGAAGAACTGCCCTTTGAGTTTGAAGTAAAGTGATTTCTTGTTGTGCCTGGGCCAGTTGAACTTTCTGTAAGTCAATAGTTGCCTGGTGCTTGATAACTTCTTCCTTCAGGGTGCTCTCGGCTGCTAAAGAGGCAAAACGTGAATCCAAAGATTTGAGAATTGAAGTGGATTCAGTTTTGAGGTCAGCACGCAGAGCCTCAAATTTCTTGGTTTCTCCCTGAAGGGTGGCTGCGAACGAGTCTACTGACGCTTGAAATTTGGAAGCATTTGAATCAGCATGAGCCTTGAGAGAATCAAGAAAGATCTGAGTTGTATGAACAACCTCAGAAACTTCCTTAGTGGCTTTGGAGCATGAGGCTGCTGAATTGTCTACAGCGTCAGTAGAGCGATCCAAGGCTTCGGTGTAAGTCTGGATTGCTGACTCGATGAAAGCCTTCAGCACAGCACCCCCATAGGCTTTACTGTCAGCCAGCAGACTGTCGAGTTTTGCGTGAATCTCTTGAAGTTGCTGACTTGACACAGGGGTGTCTGTATCGTTGTCGGTAGGGATCCGGTAAGGGCTGTAATAGATGGAATCAAATTCATCATCATCACCCCCTAGGGTAGCACCGGAGTTGGAAGATGGAGAAGGGGAGGATTGAGGGTTGATAACCGGGGTTTCAACCACAGAAGCAGCCCCCGTATCAGATACGTTGACCGTTACTGGTGGTTGGGTTGTGGTGATGGTGATAGATTCTGTGATAATAGGTTGAGAGATAGAAGATGAAGGTTGAGAAATGGTCAAGGGAATAGTGGTTTCGGTCGAGGTTTGGGGAAGTGATGTTGGAACAGAACTTGAGATGTTCTGTTTGGGTGATTGGGTTGGAGTTGGAAATTTTGGGGAAGTAGGAGGAGAAGGAGATTTGGTAATTTGGGGAGATTTAGGTGGGGTAGGCGAGTTTTGTGGAGACGAAACGGGTGTAGTTTCGGTTAGAGGATTAACGTCTGGTGGGGTAGGAGAGTTTTGTGGAGACGAAACGGGTGCAGTTTCGGGTTGAGGATCAACATCTTCTGTTTCGGATGGTGCATTCTGTTTTGATTCAGAAGGAGATCCTTTGGCTCTTTTAGCCATCTTCTTAACCTTTTTCGTTCTGGGCTGAGAAGGTTCCTCTGCCTCGGATTTGCGTTTGGAGGACCTTCTCTTTTTCTCCGTTTGGGGTGAGGGTTCCTTCATCTCAGCCTTCTTCTTTTTGCTCGCTCTTTTGCCCCGGTTAGCAGGCCGATCCAGAGCCTCAAGAGCTGCACGTTGTTCCTCAGAAAGAACCCTAGGAGGCAGGGGGGTTCTGGAGCTGTAGTCCGCCATAATCTTGCTGTGGGGTGTGACACATCTGTACATGGACTCAGGGATTAGTCCATAGTGGAGGAACTTACTTGGATCTGAGAGAATGATTTTCTTGGTGTGGTATGTGGCAATTGAAGCCATAAGAACATCCTTCATGACAGGGATGTCAAGAGAATCGATGGCTCTCCTGGTGATGAGGGTCCAAAACCTGGCGCATGAAATTTCTGAGTGCCTTGCGGTAGAGTTGAGACTCTGAACCACTTGAGACCAGAGAATCGACCCATAGTCCAGATTGATCCCGTTGTAAAGCCCATACATCATTGTGAGAAATCCTTTGCTAGTGGTGTCGGAACCACCACATCGCTCCGCTAAACCCTTAATTAAAAGGGTAAGCAATCCATTCCACTGAGATGGAAGACATGATTTCTTAACTTTGCCAACAGATGTTAGAACATCTGTATACCCCATCTCGTACATCATCTTAAAGATTTGGGCGGTTGAGATGAAGTCTGGAGAGATGACAAAAGCATCCACGGCAAGCCCTAGAAGAGAGCAAAACCGTGTTTTGGAAACGGAAGTCTTCTTGTCGTGAATAGAGAAGTAGATACGGTCTTTGTGTTTGTCATAGCTTGCTGTGGAGTAGACTTGAGATAGCAGGGACATAGGAACTGCCTCCACCTGCGTTAATGCCAATACCAATGGGGAATATTTGAGGCATTCCACCACGTAGAGCATATATGAATCATAGACGAATGGAGACAACTCTATGATCATGTTCTGATTTGGTTTTATTGTAAGAAAGGAAGAAGAAGCCGATTGATCGTGAGCAGAAGAAGAAGTCGCCATTGTTGAGTTTTTGGAAGAAGATGAACAGTGCAACTTTATCAGAGAGATA